TAAAACAAGGCTTTTATTTGGTTTCTTGCCTGAAAATGGCAAACATTTTACTGAGCTTCAGTGTCATGATCAGAGAATGTTTTGGAGATTGCAAAGTAATTCTGGAGCTGAATGCAGAAATACCTGTTCAATTTTTCCCTACACTTTACAGTATATTTCACTGGCATATGTTATCAAATCATATGTTCACTCCTTAAATATGAAATGAATGAATGAATGTATTGCATTGCGGTAGCAAAGAAAGATGGAAGATTATGACTTAAATGAAACTATTCCTCCGAAAGTTGTCCTTTCTATGTGTGAGATAATGCATTGTTGGTAGTGTAATTTCTGTCTTTTACAAGTCTGGTTTGCAATCTGATATTGTTTCCTGCTCTCAGATCTTGTCTTTAGAGCTGGAGCAATTAGGAGCTTCTGGGTGTTTATTCAGGAGTAAATCCCACTGATTTTGGGGCAATTTACTTTGAAGTAAACATGACCAGGGCACAGTCTCAAAAGGGAAAACACCTGTAAAAAGGTTAATGATCCTAAGAGAGCATAAGAAGATGGGGAACAGCCTGGCTGGGTCTAAGCAAGTTTGGTTTAGCAGAAATGTGAGGCCACAAAGCCTTCTATGCAGGAGCTGGAATTCAGAGACATACAATTTTTATGAAGTCTCTTTTAAACCCTTCAGTTAGGAGCCATCATTCTATCCTACAGTGGCAAATCCCATTATTTCACTATATGCTTCATAGAGTTGATTGATTCACATTGTTTGCCAGCTGCTCTTAGTGCATTTATGAATGAGCTCTTCTGGCATTTCTATCAAAGGGAAGCTGAAGAAGACGATGAGAAATGAATGTCCAGATCTGCAGCCTTTCAACTACAGAAGAGGTTGGCATGGCTTCCTGTATTTAAGATACTGTTCTATCTTTAAACCATAGGAAGGAACTTTTAGGAAGAAGCCTAGTTAAAACAGCAGTGTCATACCTATATCAGAAGAAAGAGCCTTTGCCTTGCCTGATCCCTGAAATATTATTGTGCTATCTGAACGAATGAATGAACAAATGAACAAATGAATGAATGAAGATTATTCCATTATAGAAGCAAAGCCTGAAGTAGAACAGTCCTAAGATAAATCTATTATTTAGATTTATCTAAATAATTATCACCCCATCTATTATTTGTGCAAGGATGGCTAAAAAAACCTTGTGTAGCTCTACTGTATGCAGTATTAGTGGTGGCAATTAAATGTTGACTAAGTACTATTTGCAAAATAAACTTTTAAAAAAAACTTTAGTAAAACCATATCTTGGGTTATCCAGGTACACTATGACCCTCTCCTTGTTCAAGGCTCCCAAACACCCCCATATTGTCCTTATCAAAAGATCTGAGGCATTTCACCAAGTCTTTCTTGGCCATCAATGCATGTTAACCTATTATTTTAAACCTTGTCAACTAGTTGAAACCAGTCCAAGTCTTTGCACATGCAGGATTTATTTTCGTAATATCGCCTATCATTGTGAGCCATTGCAAATGTCTATTTGGACATAAGTTTGTTTCCCCATGTTGCATCTTATACCTCCTGACTTGATCCAAAGGAGAAACTTTTAAAAATGCAGAGAGATGCATTTTAGTAGACAAAAAAAAAATGTATTGGGAGTCCTGTATGCACTTTTTTGTGAAATTTGTCATCAAATAAAAAATATCAAATCAAGAGTTATATAGAAGATGTATATATTTCTTCACCAGTTTGCTAGTTCAGTAAAACCTTCTATTCTTGGCATTCCATTTTCTCTGGTTTTTATGAACGAATTCCTAGATGCTGTGGACTAGAGATGAGGTTCTTTAATGTAGGTCATTGTGAAACATTGTAACTGGCAAATGGCAATGGTTATCTTCCTTCTTCCCCACTTACCAAGGAGAGTGTCAGGTCACCCTGAGATAGGATCTGATCCTGAGAGATTGTAGAATAAAGGCTTTATTACTTGAATCCCAAATCCATGTTGGCACTAACATCATAGGTACAATAAGAATGTGATTAATATACTGCAGAACGGATATTCGACCAATGGAAGGCAGAAGCTTGGGATAAACATCTAAGGCAAGCTAAAACTTGCTGTACGATTATATTTTATCCTGAGAGATTAGCTACTTGCCTATTTGGAAAAGGCCAGACACTGTGCAGATAATCTGCTACAGGCAACTTGCTTCAAGAGGAATATGCAACATGTCTAGATCAATATAGAAGCTTGCTCCGTTCGATGTCAGTGAAATTCTCAATCATCTTTTGAACCGTTGATACCCAAACACACTTTTGTGAGATAATCTGAGTTTAACCATTGATACGTAACAATGGACAATTTATGGCTCTTCATTGATCCTGAACTTTATTTTTTAGCATCATGCATCATCAATCAGGGGTGAAATGCTCCCGGTTCGGACCGGATTGCCCGATCCAGTAGCAATGGAGGTGGGTGGTTCGGAGAACCGGTAGCAAAAATCCCTGCCCCCCCCTCCATGCCCAGCTGAGCCGCACAATTGTCAGAAGCTACTTTTTTATTTTTAAAAGCATTTTTTCTACAACCTCTTTGGCCGAAAAAATGCTTTTAAAAGTTAAAAAAAAAAAAGCCTCTGATGATTGCACGGCTCAGCTGGGATCATCAGAGGCTTTTAAAAGCATTTTTTCTACAACCTTTTCGGCCGAAGAGATTATAGAAAAAATGTTTTTTTTAAAAAAAGAAAAAAAAAGAAAAAAGAAAGCCTCTGCCGATCAGGCAAGTCAGCTGGGATCGTCAGAGGCTTTTAAAAGCATTTTTTTACAACCTCTTCAGCCAAAGAGGTTGTAGAAAAAATGGTTTTAAAAGTAAAAAAAAAAAGTTGGCCATGCCCTCTGTCATATTACCCCACCACCAAGCCACGCCCACAGAACCCGTAGTAACAAATTTTACTTTCACCACTGCCATCGATCTTATTGATTACAAATGAAATTCAGCAAGAGCAAGTGTGTGTAACCACCCTTATTTACAGAGTACTGATGTCTGCTTGATTCTCTAGAATTGTCCTGTAGACTCTAACAAGCATCCGTGTGATTTATATTTAAAATATATGTTCAGTTTAGAGTGAATTTGAAATGCTATCAATTTGCAGTTCCAATATGCAGTTCCTTCCAGCAGTTCCAAAAAGGCTCCACACCCATTTGCACTACTCAGGTGACCCTGAGGACACAGATGAACCTCCAAGTGGCCTCAGCGACTCTCTAAAAGAATGCAAATGATCAGCTCTCTGCAAGGAATACAAATCCTTCCTTTCCTCACTATCCAGTCAGAGCTGAAGAAGCTTCTTGGATGAGAAGCAAAACGTTTTTTCAAAGAAAAAACAAAGAAATCCCAGTTGCCTCTTGAAAAAAAGCACATTTGGGACAACCATGACCTGGATGACTGAGAAGCTCCATAGACATTTATCAATATATTAGCCACACCCAATTACCTTTTTCAGGTAATTTCAATTTAGATGCAGAAATGGTGCCTCTAGAACAGGGGTCGGCAAACTTAAACACTCAAAGAGCCACAAAGGCCCTAACCAGAAGCCCCCGTTCAATTCTGGAGCCAACCGGAAGTCTGATTCCCCCACCATAGAGTCTCCTCCTACTACAGTGTCCTTTTTCCTCTGCCAACTGGAAGTCCGTTCCCCCACCATAGTGTCTCCTCCTAGCGCAGCATCCTTTTTCCTCTACCTGTCCTAACCGAAAGCCCTATCAAGTGTGAAGCTGACCAGCAACAGGGAGCCGCAGCAGAGGGATGAAAGAGCCACTTGTGGCTCCAGAGCCGCAGGTTGCTGACCCCTGCTCTGGAAGAAACGCTGACCTGGAAGAAACCAAATAGTCTCAAATATATTCCCACGCTTGTCTAACACTGCTACTGCAGAGCTCTTATGACCTGGATGAGGCATCAAAATAGCCTCTGGACACAGTATTCTCCTCCTCATATGAAGCTATGAGGTCTGAACATGCCCTAGTATGTAGCCCTGCACCTAGAGGCCAAGCAAAAACTTGTGGCCATTGCATTATTTCTGCGTTACTCATTTCTTACCTACTGAAGGTAATCTAGGAGTTGACTTGAAGAATTTAGAGATCAGAGTTAATAAAGTTGCCAATCTCACGACAGAGGTTAGGTGGAAAACTCAAGGCTATATCTACGTTGACTAATTTGCGTTCTGCTGACCTGTAAGACGCTGATTTAACTTTTAAATTGTTTTCTGCCCGGTGCACAACACAGATGCCTTGGTTTCTGACTCCAGCTCTCAGAATCTTAACACGACATACCTATGTTGAATTGGAATTATAGGGTTCAAATGGAATAGATGCAGGATTTACTTTTGTGGGGAGAGGGGAGACCTGCCTTAGAAGCATGGGGGGACCCTCCTTAGAGGGGCAAGGAGGACGAGAGCATGCTTAACGACCTGTAGACCTGAAGCATGGCATTTTATTTTATTTTTAACAAAAGCCTCCTTTCCTAGCCTTAGCTACGCCAAGGCGCCCTTTAGGAAAAGTACTTGTCTGCGCAATTGTCTGACATTTTGTACCAGGCATGAAGATTATTTAAGCACCCGGATGTGCCAGCCTCCCCGCGCGTTGCACTCAACGGCGGGGGATAACGGGGGAGACGCAGCAGGGCATCCATTTCTGGAGAGCTGGACTTGGCCTCCGCCAAGCCTTGTAGGTCACGCCCTTGCCTTAAGAGCCGATGGATGACATTAAGCCTGAGAAGGAAGGAACCAAGCAGGCCTGGCAAAGGCTGAGCTTCCCTTTTCTATTTTTATTTGGAAGCCCCCCGGAAGAGAGGCGTCCCCCTAGAGAAAAGGAAGCTGGGGGAGGGGGGGGGCGATGCCATGCCTCGCGGCCATTGGCTCCCGGGGAAAAGAAGCAGAGGCTTGGGATTGGCTATCCGTACAGAGGCGGGGCGGGGGCGGGGCGGGTTTCGCTCGGAGCTGCGGCGAGTTCGGAGAACGCTGCTCCTGAGCGCCGGTTGACCCGCCGCTGCTCCTCCAGCCCGGTGGGCTTCGCTGCGGCTCCCTTCGGGTTTCTCTGCAAGCTCAGCCTCAAGGCGCCGGCGCGGCCACTGCGTCCCGCCCCAGCCCATGGCCGGTGTGCGGGGCGCGTCTGGGCAGAAGCTGTAAGGACTTTCCCGTAAAGCAGCAGCTGGGGAAGCCTCCGCCTCCGCCGCCGCCGCCGCCTCCAGGATGGGTACCGTGCTATCCCTGTCGCCCGGCGGGTCTGGGAAGGGCAGCAATGGGGTGCTCGGCGAGAAAGCGGCCCCGGGCAGGGCTCACGGCAAAGGCGAGAGCCGCTTGAAACGGCCCGGCGTTTTGATTTCTGCCCTCACCTGGAAGCGCCTGGTGGCCGCCTCTGCCAAAAAGAAGAAGAACGCGAAGAAGGTGACGCCCAAGCCGGGCTCCGGAGGCGCATCGGATCCTCTGGTGCAACAACGCAACCGCGAGAACGTGCGCAAGTCCCAGCCGGACGGCACCAAACAGGGTCCCTTGGCTGTTCCGGTGCCAACCGTGCCCGTCTCCGTCCAAGACAACGGAAAACCGCCGCCGCCCCCGCCGCTGCCCAGCAACCGCTCGGCCGCTGGCTCCCCGCGGAGAGTGATCGTGCAGGCTTCGACGGGCGAGCTCCTCCGCTGCCTCGGGGACTTCGTGTGCCGCCGATGCTACAGGCTCAAGGACCTGAGCCCCGGCGAACTCATCGGCTGGTTCCGCAGCGTGGATCGCTCGCTCCTGCTCCAGGGTTGGCAGGACCAAGGCTTCATCACCCCCGCCAACCTGGTCTTTGTGTACCTGCTGTGTCGCGAGGCGCTGCAAGGCGACCAGATTGGCAGCCAGGCGGAGCTTCAAGCCTCCTTCCTCACTTGCCTCTACCTGGCCTACTCCTATATGGGCAATGAAATCTCCTACCCGCTCAAGCCCTTTCTGGTTGAGGGTGACAAGGAGCGCTTTTGGGACCGCTGCCTCTCCATCATCCAAGGCCTGAGCACCAAGATGTTGCAGATCAACTCTGACCCGCACTTCTTCACGCAGGTCTTCCAGGACCTCAAGAACGAAGGCGAGGGGGTGTCCACAAAGGACTCCTCCAGCACCAACAAACACTGGACTATAAGCTTGGACCGTTAGGAAGTTCAGGGGGGCCCTCCGCAGCACCCCCAACCTTCTAGATAGAGCTCACCTCTTCATCCCCTTCTCACCTAAAGGCTTGACTCAACTAGGGCTTCTCCTGGAGGAATAAAACCAGGGGCGAGGATTGGGGAGCTGCCGGGGGTGGGGGGGGCATAGCCCTTAGTCATCCTCTTTTGTACAGGTAGCATCATGGAACTGCTTCCCATTCTGCCCCACAAGCCTTTGGTAGGCTTTGGTCTGCATATGGGGATGGAGGAAGTTTGCTACAGCCACCCTTTCAACACTCCATTTGGGGAGGGGGGCACACCCAGAATTACATCAAGCCCTTTTCACAACTGCAGCAACTAGATGATTTGAGGATAGGTAAGATGGCCCATGATTTATTGTATCTTTCATCTATGAGCAGAATCAATCTTTGCTATCACAGCAAGGTGCCATGGACAGCGTGGATGCATTTAGGGCCTTATATATGCATTGGGGGAGGGTGTCCTTTTCTCTTTCTTCCAAATGGGAGAATCCCTAGACATATTAATGGATCAGCCTGAGGCATTATTTATCGGCAAGGTTCTGACTAGTGCGGGAGAAAACAGCGGCTATGCCCTTGTTTGAGAAAGCCCAACCTATCCGTCTGATGGTTTGGGTCTCCCTGCTGCTACTGTGAATCACAGTACAGCCAGGGTATTTATTCCCCTCCACCCACCCCAGATTAAAGAAATCCCTGCATGTATTTATCCTTCCTGCTGTTGGAGCTCTGCCATAGTGGTTCTTTAAAAAATGGATAATGGTCACAACAGACCTTTACTGCAAGTCACTTGCCTTTTGTAGTTTTCCTTTCTTTTCATCTTGGCACAGGGGAGGGGGGAGAGGTATGTATCCACTCCCAACACTGAAAATAAGTGCTGGGGAAGCTCTGCTGCTATCCTTCCAATGCTCCTCCACTTGACCTGTTCTCTCCATCCTGCCACCACTACCACCCCTCAACCGCCTCCCATCTAAAGCAGAGGCTGGGAGCTGTCCATGGTGCTAGCCTCTTAGACCTATGTAGACATTTGCACATTCTTGAAGCTGAAAAAAAAAAAATCAAGCCATCTCATGGTGTTTGAATGTAACAGAACAATGTCTGACTTATGGGATGTTTGTGCCAATGTTGCTCAAATGTACAATAACATATTGTTTTATATTGTATATTTAAAAGAGATAAAAGTAATGAGTTTAAACAGAACTTCAAAACTGTTCAATCATTGAGAGATTCAGCTGTACTAGGAAAGAATACTAAATGCATTGGATCTATATGAGAACCAGTGAAAAGGGATGCAAGCAATAGCAATTCACGCTGAGGCTTTACTTCAGGATGGAGGAGGCATTAGTAGTTGGCTGATGATTTCCTAAATGGCTGTGTTGGCAGGAGATCCCAGACTTGCTAATGGGATTTGATATCGAATTGCAGTCCATCTTATTCCAGAGCCCTTTTAGGCAAGGACATGCTCTGTGTGTTAAGATCTGGCCTTAATAAATCTCAGTAAAAAAAAAAATCCAATTTAAAAAAATCTGATTTAACTACTAAAATGCCTGCAAATGTAATTGTTGATAAAGCAACAAATTCCTTGCCCACCTGCTTTATTGTTTGGCATGTAATCCTCTGCAACTGAGGTCAGTTAAAGAGGCCATCAAAGCGGGACCTATTTTGAATTGTTTTCTAATTTCTGAAACTAAAAGTAATCCAGAATTTTTCCTACTGGCATCCTGGTCCTCTTTCAAAGGGCACCTAGCACAAATGATACATTTATTAAGAACGCATTGATAGTTTCTTGTCCTCTCCTTCCAGATAAGTATGCTTTCAGTTTGGCATCCTTAATTGCTGACCCTCTGAAGAATGCTGATGGGCAGGTGTCTCTGCTGTGCCTTATTATTCTTTAATATTATTTTAGGGTGGCAGGCTTGGGTTACTTTGCTTCTTCGGTCTTTTTATTGCCACTGTCGCAGATGTTTCTTTTTTCCAATTTTCACTTCATAAAGTGCTATGATAGCACTGCATAAAAGATTTATTAATTTCTCAGATTTAACCCTTTTTTAAAAAAAAGGTAGAATTTGATCAACTGTTCTGTTATTAACTGGAACTGTCAACAATTTTCAGATAATATTTTTGTTTTTTCATGAAGGAGTCTACTGCACCATTTCACTTATGAAACAGGCAAAAATATAGCAGCAAAAATTTTAAGAGGAATTCTTTGTTTTCACAACAGCATGGCAGTTTTCTGTCCATCTAGTTAAGACCCCTTATGGATTCTTGCTGTGATGGAGAAGTCCATAGTGATTAGTTAGCTGATAGGATTAGTTGCTAAAACTTAGCTGATAGGATTAATTACTACAAGTTAATAAACAATTTGGCTCATGTTTTAACCAACAGTCAAAATGGTTTAGGAATTTATAGACTGATTTTTGAGCTTGACATAAAATCATTTAGAGAAGACTGCTGATTCTAGATTTAAAAAGATCAGCAGAGAAACCAAGCCCTCAATTCAAAAGATTCTACCTTGCCTCATCACACTGTCTCCATAATTTTGATTTGAAAAAGGTTTTGATCCCAGAATCCTGGCTCTGCATGTGTTAAACAACAATGGAAGACAGCAGGATGCCTGCTATTTTGGTAAGAAAGTTATGCTATTTCTTCTTCTTTGCATACCTCTCTGAAGGATTACATTATCAGAAGTTTAGGCTTTGACATTTTGGCAAATAATTCAAATAATAAACTTAAAAAAATGGTGAACAGAAAAGGGGAGTTTTGTTTCAGAAGTGTGTTCTTAATTATAGTGCAGATGAGCTATTATTAGTAGCTACTCTTCTGAAGTTAGCCTGCCTATTTGTGTTTTACACCTGACGCATATTTTTTTTAAAAAAAAAAATCATGCTTGAGCTAGGATAAGAGAGCTGGATCCAGATCAAAGTTACAAAAAAATTCACCATTTACATCTTGTATTCTAAAAAACCTATGCTGATACTAATACTTGTTCCTGCTTCTGCTAACATGTAGTTATTCTGTTTTTAATTTGAATATTGTTGAAGTTATTTGAACCAAATTTCAATGGATCCTACTCTTTGCCTCAAGACTAGCAATATATTCAGGCTAGCTTCCTCCCATATGGGACTTTTTAAGGTTGTCCTGATTGCAGTCTTCAGCAGGGAGTTTTCATCTCAACCCATTTCAGAACCTTTTTGCCTGCCTTCTTGGTCAAGTGCTAGCCCATTGCACTGAAATGCTGTGAGTATCTCTCTCTCTTTTTTTGTAACATTTAAGTATTTAAATATTGTTTATTTTTAAAACCCCACTGTGATTTATAATAACATAACTACGTATTATATAAACCATCCAGCAATTATGAAGAAACAGCACCTGAAGAATACTAACCTATGCTCTAAAAGATGCAATGGTTATATCATGATTGAGGCTAGAGAAGAGGTCACTCCACAAGGCAGATATAACTGCAGAGAACAGCCTATGCTCTCTAACTGAACTTGCAAGTCATAGCAAGGCCCTCCCTGAAAAATCAAAGATGTCTGAGGGCTGATGTAATTGGAGCGATTTTTCAAGGTAGCTATGTGTGCTACATTTAGGACGTGTCTAAATGATTGTACAGCTCCGTTTATTTATTTATTTTACTGATTTGCTTTTTTTTTTCTTCCCCCTGCTATGTGTTGAATGAAAATGACTTTTCAGCAGGCAACAGTTTTTAAAGAGAAATGGCAGATATATCTGAAGATGAGATAAAATAGAAACTACAAATTATACAGAATGTATAGCTCACAGGGGTTCCTTCCAGAGAGTTCTTTCAGAGAAGATTGTCATTGTGATATCAACAGTTTATTTCAGTAGGGTTTTTCTTTAAAATCAGTTTCAGTCTACGGTTATGGAGGTCCAGAACTGATGAATTCAGTTCAAGGGAAAGTCGTCTCATATATGGTGAACCAGTGAGTTACATATGGGCAGCCTTCTCAGAGAAAGACCTTGTGAGTCTTGGTTTCACTAGTCAGATTTCCTGATAATGGAGAAGGTGTCCTATCCCAAATGGTTTTCTTGAGTTCTTAGGTACATCTATGCTACTAGCATTTCATCTTTATATTATTAACCTGAACCAGAGATCCAACCACTGCCAGGTCTGCTGTAACGCCCATCATCACTATTGCAAGCCCTCAACACAACTGACCACTATGCCTTCCTGCTAGCCAATATTGGTACACCAAAATCAGCTTGGTAGTGAGCGTGAGAGAGAGAGAGTACATGAATGGCAGCTATCTGAATGATCACATGAAGCCCTTTGTTAGAGCACTGAGATTCTATGAGGGGGTTAGCTGGAGGGGGTTAGCTAAGAAGCCAAGAGGAGGTAGTTGTGGGATTTCTTATCAATGGGAAATTGATCCACCACCAAGTACAGTATCTTTTTGCCATTCAACATTTTGGAGAGTCAAGCTGTGAGAAAACTGGTTAGACTGCTTAGCAGGATCTTACCATGGGAATCCAGGAACACAGTGCTACTTAAGAGCAAAATCAAAGGCCCTTCAAAGTACCATTTGCATTTTTGAGTTGTTCTCAATTCTGATTCTGGATGTGTTCATTGATCATATCTCCTACTTTGTCCTTTGATTCTGACTGTTTGCTTTGTCTCACAGCTTCAGGTTTCCCTCTCACTTCAGCTTCAACACCACAGATAGGGTGTTACCATTAATATCCCAAAATGATCTTTTACTGATTTGAACCACTGGTTCATCTAAGTATTGGCTGCTTTGACCAATTCACTCAGACATGTGGTTTCCAGGTGCATGGTTTGCAATTAAGAGAATTTAACAGAGGTGTGTGGTTGACAAGTGGATAATTTAAGGATTAAGGACCTTTTTTTAGAATGAGAAACTATAGGTATGTATGGTGTTGCTTGTAAAACACCATAGAGAAAACTGGCAGATGTGGCTTTTGGAATTCTTTCCAACCCCATAATACAGTAGTAACTATTCTCAGTCAAATGACCAGGAGGTAGAAGGACTTAAGAATGGAGCAATCAGAAGGCTGTTGCCCAACTACTTCTCCCGTAAAATGAACAGGAAATTACTTTTGGGTTTTGTATTCAGTTCTCATTCCATTGAGGTATCCAAACTAGAAAATTTGCTGTATCATCTAGACCACTTTTATAAGCAAAGCAACCCAGAAAAGTCTGCATGTAAAGTTGAACAGGGTGGGAGATGGGAGATGAGCTTTGCTACTTCAACAGAACGTGTCAGGTAGTGGTAGCAAAATTTTGGCTGAAACAGTGTGCTTTTGGGTGATCATGGACCTGGACCAAAACTGCCTTGAGCATTGCATTTTCTACTGCTGGACCATGCTGACTGAGCATGACTTCATAACTCACGAATGTGTCAATAAACAATATCGGGTACCAGTTGTGTTCCTGAAAACTGTCTCCAACGTGAAACATGGAGAATTTTATAAATGTTGTGTCCTCTCAATCACTGGAATCTGAAATCCAATAAAGCATTTGTTCTATAAAAGATTATCTTTCTTCATGTCTGCATCCATTCCCAGAACCTTCGTGTTCTAGGTGCATTCTATATATTTCCATTTTGATTAGGTATCCTGATAGGGTGGGTACATTCCAGGTCCCTTCCCTTAAATGTTGCCCCCTAGCAGGACCGAAACAGCATGCTTTCTTGGTAGTGGACCCTGCCCTTTGAGACACCTACCTTCCTAGTCCCCTACCCTCCTGGCTTTCTGAAAAATGATAACATGGCTTTTCCCACTAGCCTTGGGGTCTGTGAGGCTGGAGCCCAGAAATGCACTCAAGTTTCTTTCTGGAAAAGTGGGGATGTTTTGCATTTGGGGCAGGGGTGCTATTCAGCAAGTTCTAACAGGTTCTGGAGAACCAGTAGTGGAAATTTTGAGTAGTTCAGAGAACCGGCAAATCCCACATTTGGCTGGCCCCAGAGTGTGGTGGGGATGGAGATTTTGTAATATCCTTTCCCCAGGAGTAGGGAGGGAATGGGGATTCTGCAGTATCCTTCCCCTGCCATGCCCACCAAGCCACGCCCACAGAACCGGTAATAAAAAAAATGGAATTCCACCACTGATTTTGGGGGAGCCAGAAAGGCTTTTTGGTTGGCTTTTATGTTTTCTTTACTATTATTTATTGTTACTTGGGGGAGTTGCTTAGGGTTATGCTGCATATGATGGGCAGTTACAGAAAACTCTTAAATAAGTAAATTACGTCAATATGGCTTGGCATGATGACTTAACAGCCATCTGCAATTCAGGTCTTATGTATTTAAGGTCTTATGCCAAGCCACATTGACGTAATCATAAATTGTCAAATAAGCCATAACTTATTATATACAATACACTGAGCCAGGGGTATCAAACTCACATCGTCACGGTGGCATCACGTGATGTATCGGGACTTTTTTCCCCTTCGCTAAACCGGGCGTGGGCATGGCCAGCGCATGACACATACGGCCCGCAGCCAGGAGTTTGACAGCCCTGCACTAAGCCATGTAGAAACCACAGTTGCTAGGATCACACAAATCTTAAGACAAACATGGCTTAATATACTGCATAAATTCAAACTATGGTTTTATGTCAGAAGTCGGGGACTATTGTGGCCACACTGATATTGCTGAACATGACACAACTATCAGCCAGCCTGGTTCTTGCTGAGGTATGTTCAGAGATGTAGTCCATCTGTTAGAATGCAGATTCCAACTCTGGCATTATGTGCTGGTGGATAACTAAGTAAATGCAGCCACCACACCTCTGTTGGTGTTGGAAGAGACTGCTGAGAATACTGTGGACACCACACAAAACAAAAAAAAACTCACACACAAAAACACACACACACAAAACCCCCAAGGGATCATCAAACCAACCAACCCAGAGTTCTCACTCAAGACACAAATGACCAGGCTCAAATTAACCTACTTTGGACACATTATATGAAGATTTCCCTCTCTGGAAAAGGTTCTAATGCTAGGAAAGATGGAAAGAAAAAGAAGAGGATGACCAGCACAAGAAGGGTGGACTTGGTTACAGTGGCAATGAGGGTGCCATTTGGGAGTCTTGAAATAACATGTTAGGGATAGATTGTAATGGAGAAAATTTATCTATGTGGTTCCTAGGAGCCAATACCATTTTGATGGCATATAATCAATATCTCAAACTCTCTTTGTCCTCATATTTATCTTTGGCTATTACCTGCAGCAGAGAACATTAGACCAGAGATGGCTACTAAGGAAAAAGTAAATAGATCCAAAAGGAGGCATGAGGAACTGCACTGGAGGGAAAGAAGTCATAATTGGTTTTAGTGGTCCTGAAGTTGCCATCACCAAGTAAAATCCAACAATTCGGTTCCCAGTGCAAATAGAACAATGATTGGGTCAATTGTATAGTGCACCATCCTATGGCTGATTCAATAATAATATACATTTTAAAAAGCTTATATTTTCTTGTTACATCCTTTCCTTACTTTGTGCTTGAATAAAGACAGAGTGGTTTGTTTGGATTTTTTTTGTAAGTTCTTGTCTCCAGCCTCTGATTGCTCTTGTCCTGACAAATGCTCTAAGGACAAGTTATTTACACTTTAGAACATGTTTATGGCCACTGGGCTACTAACACGCTATCTCTAGACTTACAAAACTCTTTTCAGATGCAATTAAATGCAGATAAGAGATTAACTACAGAGATTAGCTATGGAGCAGATTCTGAAGAAGGAAATAGAAGGGGAATTCTTTTGCGTTCCAAGGAGTTTTGAGTCCTTTTAAATTTTATTGTAATCAGCAATTTAATGTTTCCAATATCAGTCAGATTTTGTTTACAGGAGAGCAAAAGGTTCTATTAACACTCAACAAAAAAATAACTTGAAAATGTTAAAAAATATCTCAAGGCCTTTGTCTGAATCAAGAGACTTGACAGATTATCAACAAAGTGGGAGCAACTGATCAACCAATCTGGTGGGGCCAAGGCTTCCCACACTTTGATTCAGCTTAGACACTGGGTGCTGCTGGTGCACCATTATCATTCGCCACCAATCCCCCAGGCATAAGTATTATTTTCTTTAGAACAAGTAATACCTAAATTTCCCAGCTCTGATCCCATTAATCATCATCTTCCCAGCTGGAAAATAATTCTGCTTTGATTCTTTCCTCCCACACATATAAACACAAGGCAAGAAGTTTGGAGGAAAACAATTATTTCTTGCTGTGAAGCAAGTTAAGAAGTTGGAAGCATGAAAAAAATGTCCTGCTTCTCTTCAAAAACCATCCCACATCACAGAGGAATCAAATGTCACACATCGTATTGAACCCTTGTATGGGCAAGCCTCAATGGTGATGAGCTAAGCCCTAAACCATGCTTTGCAACCTGCAGAAGTTAGGGTGATATAATCAGCTAAGTCAAAACCAAACAATTTCTCATCTTAGATAGATTGTAGAGTTAATGCCTTCCATATTTTATCTGTATTTGATAAAAACTTATAATTTGTGGCATCTGCAGACTTATCCATGACCTTAAAAATGACTGATATATTGAAATGGTAGGACATCTGTGCATATCTTCAATACAGCATGTCCTGCTTATCAAATTATTGTTCAGTTTCTCAGCAAAGGAATGAGCCGAAGTGTTGTTTCTTTTTTTCCCCCTCAAAAATTAATCAAGTTTCAACATGGCTAGTACCTGAATGAGAGATTACCAAAAAAATCCCAGGGTTATATTTAGTCACCAAGAAAAATGCTGGTGAAAGATAACAGCAGCCAATCATTTTTGTACTATTCTTGAAACAGACCATCTTCAGTCTGACTTAAGCATAGTACATAAAATCATCTGCTACAATGTCCTACCAGCCAATGAATACTTCAGCTTCAACCAAAACAATACAAGAGCACACAATAGATACAAACTCATGGTAAATCGATCCAAACTGGACTGCAGAAAATATGACTTCAACAACAGAGTTGTCAACACCTGGAATGCATTACCTGACTCTGTGGTTTCTTCCCCAAATCCCCAAATCTTTAGCCTTAGATTGTCTACTGTTGACCTCACCCCATTCCTAAGAGGTCAGTAAGGGACATGCATAAGCACACCAGCGTGCCTACCGTCCCTGTCCTAATGTTTTCTTTTATTTGTATCCTTTTCATGTATTTATAATTATGTTTACACTTGTATCTGTCATAAAATACATGCTTGATGAAATAAATAAATAAAATAAATAAATAAACTATATGGACATGTCCATGCAATCACCAAAAGCTAAGCTTAACTTAAGGAAGTTGTATTTGTTATAAGAAATGAAGTTATTTTTTCAGAATACATACAAGGCCTGGATACGTATACAATGACGTCCTCGGGCTGTCACTGCTTTCATCAGAATGATGAAAGAAGCATCACAGTGTTTCATCACAAGCTCTTTTCCTTTATTCAATAACTTTTGCTTGTATTTTCTTTCCACTTGTTTTTTTTTCCCTCCCTTTGATGAACGAAAGCAAGAAAAAGAATTAAAAAATAATTTAAAAAGAAATTAAGGCATTAGGGGAAGATCGGTAGCCAGTGTTAAATGGGGCTTCCCTGTTTGTAGGAAGCAATAGAAACGGGAACAAAAATCAATCAGCTAGTAAGCCATCCAGGCAGAACAGATGCAGTGGTATAAAAGAATGAGCAAAGGCTTGCTGCCCTGCCCCAATTCCTTCCCTGTTAATGAAATACCTCCCCTCCCCCCACTGCAAATGGAAAAGCTGAGACTCTGGATCTGCAGTCTCCCCAGCTGTTCAGGGCATGGCTTTGCATTACTGGCTAATCTGCCATTTGTGCTCTGTATATTTATCTGACTCTAGCTGACATGCTAGACTAGACTAGAGGAAGTGCTGAATGGAGGCTGCTCCTCCCCCGGGACAGTCTGGGACAGGTCCTAGAAGAATTCCCTTGTTTGCATCCTTCAGGGCCTGATTAGAAAGCTGCAGACTGAAGCCGGAGGTCCTCCTTGACAGTTCAACTTCATAAACGTAGGCCTCAAAGCACGTTGGAGGGCAGGAGAAGTCTGCATAATTATTTTCCCCACCCCTAGGGAACTCTTTCATTGCTGCCAGAGAAGTGCTGCCCCTGAACAAGCAAGTGCTGTCCCATACAACAAGCAAGAATTCAAGGAAGCCTGCATACAGAAAACCACTGACCGGTTTCACATGCTGTTGGGAGCTATGATTTTTGTTGGATAAACCAAAATTCACACATTGTGCCAAGTCACAAATTACGGCTCTATCTACGGCAAGACAGTACCATACACTCTAAGAAAAAACTGAGTAAGTGACATTGTGGCTTTAAATGATGTATAAACTCCATGATATTTTTTTTTTTTAAATGCTGCTCCTGTTTCTGATAATTATTTTTTTATAATTAAAAAAATATATACCGGTATTTAAAAAATTCTCCTGACTTATCCACACTATTCTGGCTTGTAACCCCTGTGTTACAACTTTAATATGTTAGATTCCGCCAATTGAGCTTTAAGTCACTA